AAAACTACCTGCACTGTCAGATCCCACTATAGAAAGGTGGAAAAAATGTTTTGGTAATTTGTGTGAAATGACCCTTTAAGAGCAGAGACGGAGGAGGAGGAGGAGGAGGAGGAAGGGGAAGTCTTTGGGAATAATGTTAATAAAGATGTGTTGTGAGTTGTAGTGTCTTCAGCCTGTCACGCGGACACAAACAAAAAGAACCGACCCAAGGCGACAGGCTTAATTAGAGAGAGACCGAGAAAGAAGAAGAAGGGATGATGGACCCATACCTCCTTATTAAGCTGTCTCCCTTGGGAAAGGAGGAGGAGGAGAAGGGAGGAATGAAGGAAGGGAGGAGGAAAAACAGTGGGGTGTCTGGAGCCAAACACAAGACCTGGGCACCACCCTTCACCCCCACCGTCACGTCTGTCTTCTCATCACTCACAAAGGTACAAAAGAACGCACAAGAGGGTTTTCCCATGGCACCCAGAGAGGCATGAGACAGGACAGAGCTAGACTGAGCGAGTGTAGGAGACAGAGACTGAGCGAGAACAAGGAAGAGAGGGAACACTTCTCTTTAAGCAGGAGAGTGACTGTTGCTCTTGTAAGGAAAGGGCAATAGAGGGGCCATTGTCCATTCTCTCTCACCCTTTTCTTATGAGGACAGCACAGGGCGGGGGGTGGTAGGTAGGCAGGCAAGCAGGTAGGTGGATGGATGGGTGGGTGGTGGGGTGAAGGTATGTAGGGAGCCAATGGGGCGTGACTCTTACCCCCTGCTACTGAGCCAAGAGCGAATCTGTAGATCGACTCTGCCACCTGGATAAGGATGGGGCGGGAGCCGTCGCTGCCCGAGTGCTGCCCGTGCGCAGGAGAAGAGACAATTAAGACGTTAGTAAGGACGTGAGACAGGAGCTGAAGATGAGAGCTTGCAGTACATACACCTGACAGGACAGCACACTTTAATCCTGATTCTTGTAAAACCCTGTATGCCACGCACCTATTTCCACCCAGAATGTGGACAAACGAGGGAACACTGTATATTACATATCCCATCCAAATGTCTTCCAAAGTCTACCTTGACTCAAAAAATAACAACCCCCACCCCCCAAACAGTATGCATATATGAGTATACATAAAAAGGTATGATCATCAGATCAACATATGATCTCTTAACATATCTGATACAAAGTCTGTTACTCCCTTAGATTAACTTGAATCACAAAGGTGTATTCAGCGCCACCTGAAAAAGACCTTTGTGATCATTATCACTTCACCATGCAAAGAACAGAGGAGTGGTAACAGCCACACTCCCCCATTCACCTGAGGCACCTGTTGCTTTGGCTGGTCTCCTGAGCCCTGACCACTAGACCCTGTTTGGGGGGTGGCTGCTTTTGTAGGGTTGTAGCTTTGCGTTTGTGCGTGTGTGTGTGTGTGTGTGTGTGTGTGTGTGTGCGCATGCGCAGTGAGAATGGAAGAGGTGGGGGAGTCTCAGCTGGAACACATCCACCTGTCAAACTGTACCCATGCTCCCTTCACATATCCTGCTCTTCTACTTCATGAGAAATGATTAAATGTTTCAATACTGTCAGCATGTTTAATGGAGAAAGAGGAAACAAGTTAACAGGATATAAAGAGAGAACAACTCAAACATGTATGAGAGAGAGGGAGGGAGTAGATTTAAAGAAGAAAAAAAAAAGAAACGGGGAAAGAAGTAGCAAAGATGAGGAGAGAGCGCTCCAGTAAACTGAGGGCCAGCCCCTGAGTCCAAACCACAAGGGCCTAAAGTGGCTCATTGTGGTGGGACTGGCGTCTGTGCAGTGCTGGGCCCCTTTGCTTTCTCCCCTTTGGCCCAAGCCTGCTCCAGTATGGCCTGGCCAAGCCTCTACTGTAGCGCTGGAACCCACCAGGCAACACAGCCCTGACCAAACAGCTGGAGAAAGAAAACAGTCTTCTGCTCATCCATCTGTACGTCCTTCTTGATTTTCTTTGTTACAAATTGCTCTTATTATCCAGCTACTATAGTCAACATGAAGTATGTTTGACATTCATTAGCTCTTGAGGATGGCGCTGCTTGTCTTTATTTCCATGGATTTCTTGATTTTTGTGCGTTTGTTTTTCAAGATGTCAACCGCACGCCAGGGAGAGGCAAAGCGGTGTTTTCTCTGAAGAAAGTCTGTTAAGGTTCAATTCAATGATGGGAAATTACTTAAAACTTGGTGGGAACAACTGAAAGGGAGTAGGACTGATGAGTACTCGCCAACTTTCCATTTTTATACCTGACTAAACTTAGTTGGATCTGTTACTCCTGCATTTCACTTCTATGCTTGTTTTGGTGGATTAGTTACATGCAGGAGCTATCATTAACCTAAAATTGTAAATCTTCTTTATCTTTGCAGTCACATTTAGCCTAAGAGAATGTATCAAAAGGGAAAGGAGCTGCCAGTGTGGAAGAGGAAACCAAACACATCAACAAGTCTTCATATTCTCTACCTGTCTCTGGACTTCAGCCAAGTTGTAGGGCAGGGCACCTTCCTCCAGCGGAGCAATCTTCTCAATGTCCGCTAAACCAACACGTCTGGTGGAGACAGAGAAAGAGACAGAGAGTGAGAAGGTTCAAGTAACTCTCAGAGGATTATAACAATCCACCCATGTATCACCGAGCTCAAGGAAACCCATCGGTCTGAAGTTACTCAGAGTTTAAAGACAACATCGTTTCAGATGAAAATATTGTGGCATTCACAAATCCAGACCTGTGCTTGGCATGACAGCGTTGGATAACCGACCAATAGAAAGTGATGACTCATGCTTCCTTTATCACTTCATCCAAGTATAACAAAGATATTTAATCTTTTCATGTCTCTCTATTGCATCTCTTTGACGGTCACAGAATTCCCAGGCTCAGGGAACTGGGAACGCCAAATCCCCCCCCCCTCCCCATCTCGTCTGTATATTGGGACTATTATCTCTCACATCTCCAATCAAGGGGAGTGGAGCTACTGGGCTATTAAAGTATCCCATTGCCCAGAAATAATAATCAGGTGGTTTCTCAGGCCGGGGTTAGAAATTATGAGCGAACTGGTCGGGCCGCGAGGCAGATGCAAAGGAAGTGGGGGAATGTGAGACATATACAGTTGTTTTGTGCCACGGATTACAGGGACTGAAACTGCTCCTCTCTTTTTTTTCTTTAGAATAAATGGGAGTTTGGTTTAGGTTCAGACTGAAAGAAGATTCCCTGGCACTGGATACATGTCTGACTCTTTTGATCCACTGCAGAGAAGTTTGACAGAGTGCTCGTCTCTCTGAGGTATGGACCCCGGGGCAAAATTTTCCCTTCAGGGTGGCAAGTTTGGAATAGTCTTATACTGCACAAGTACTTGACTAGCTCAGCAGAGGCAACCTGGCTAAAGTATTAATTCAATTGCGTCTTCTATACTGGTTTAATACAGCTCAAAATCACCAAATATTTTCTGCTTTCTTGTGAAATAAACATGAAAGAAAGTACACAAGCCAGTAGTGTCTATCTAAAATAATTCAGTTTGAACACCAGCCACCTAAGAAGTATGTCATTTTCTACTTTTACTTTACTTTCTATACAACTTCTTTTAATATTAAGAAGTTCTTTGTCATATGATCATCTTACCCACGAGGCTCCGACAGGTCAGCCAGCTGAAAGAGGATGTCGACCTCCATGGGCGTCACCTGGCCGAACCTTTGAGCTGCCACGATAAACTCCTCTGCAGGAAAAGGCAGATTTTCCATCATGTTTTCACTAATAAAATATTTAAATATATGTAGAAGTATTTAAAACTTGATACATAGCCTCTGCCTATCTCTGTCCGGGTCACATGTAACAGTCAAGAGCCAAGATGGTGTCCCCTTGGCCAGGAAATATACCGTGTCACTTTTGTAGTGCATTTCTGGCAAACTCTAAAGGGAAGCACTGTAATCACAAACTTGAACCCACAACTGGCTTGTTTCAATGTAAATAATCAGGGAGGGAGAGCTGCTCGTCTCCCTCCACTTTGCCTCCAGCCGTTAAATGGACTGTACTTATATAGCGCTTTCTTAGTCAGTCACTCATGCTTCACACACACACACACACACACACACACACACACACACACACACACACACACACACACACACACACA